TGATGAAGGGGGTGTCCCAAAAAAGCATTGAGGTTTCTCTTCTTCTCTTTTGTGTTGAAAAAACATTTTACTGTACTGTTTAACTTCTTAAACTTTTGTGGCACCTTTCATCCTTCCAATTCCCCATTGACTGTTTCTGGGGACACTTTGTGAGCAGCCTCTAGAAACATGACCCTCCACGCCACTGATCTACAATTGCACCTGAGGCCCGGGCTCCTACACCATACTCAACAACACTGCATAGCTAGGCAAGGTATTATCTATATCTATTATCTATATCTATCTATTTCCTGGTCCAGTGGTATGACTTCCTAGGTCACCACCCCACCTCCAATCTGCTTACTGGACAATTGTTCAGAATAATTTGTTCTGTTCAATGAACAGGGAATTGTTCCAGGAAGGTGAGGCTCAACTAGGAGACGCTAAAGCAAACTGTCTGGCAATGCATATGTCAGAGCTAAGTAAAATCACAGGAATAGCTGACCATAATTAAAAATCATTTTGCAGTTAAAGTAGCATAGATTTCTAATTGGTTACCCTTGCAGTGATGATATTTCATTTTTGCAGCACTTAAAATAATGTATGATATTGTAGTGCATGCTTACAGAGTGTAAAATAATGTTCCCTAGAACAAGTTCACTTTACTGTGCCATGTCATTTCAATGCTGGAGCCCAGAGAAATACGAAGTACTTTCGGGTGTGGTGGTCAAAATTTTGTCTGTTTTTAAAATGCTGCATTTGGTACCTCAGTGGCCAGAGATAGTGAGCATAGATACACTGCAGACCATAATTAGACACCCTGCTGCCATAGGCCTTCCTAATTAATGATGCAATTTTGTAAATCTCGGACCCTTAAATCATATGAAGCTAATGTTTACTATTAAAGGCAAAACGTGGTTGGTTTTGAATTCATAATTAATCTTCAACTGCACATACAACCAAGCAAGAGAAAGTAGTGATGATTTCATGTTTGCTGTACGATAAAGAGCCTTCTGATTGCTCCTAACCCCCTTCCCCCTACATGAATACTGCTAAATTTAACCACAAAGGATGAACATTTGAGAGAAAGTTATAACAATGTGTACCTTATAAGACTTGATGCTGCCTATTTACCTTACTGTACCCTACAATATTGGCACTCATGGGCACTGGGCCACAAGTGCCATTATTGTAATTACAGTACTAACCCTGCTTAGTGAGTTAAAACTGTCGTAGGAACTAGGTGTAGCCTATCGGCGGATTAGGGCATCACTGAAAAAATAAGTACATACTTATTGGTGAAGTAAGCCTCTTATTTTAACATCAACATGCAAATAATGTAGTTATTTCGTTATCTTGCCCATTCTAAGTAAAGGGTATGTAACCCTAACAATGAACTTACCTTAATTGTACCCTGTAGGTCTGCTAACTATACCATACCATTAAAAGTGTTTTGTTATATCTGTTTGATAAGAAAAAGGTACCTGGTGATCCTGCCAAAAATCTAGGGCTGTCCTCTGTGCTGTACACTATGCAGTGTCATCTCAAGCAAACTTATCAACTTCACAGAGTAGAGAAAAGGAGAGGTTCTGTAGTCTTAACACACTCCTGTCCTAGGACAACAATGCTGCTTCTCCACAGATACGTACATTGAGTACGTATCACTCTAGGACAGTAATGGAAGGACAGGAAGTAAAAATTAAGTAGGAAAAGCCTGAAAAAACCCATCTAAGATCCCATTCACACTGAGCTACATTAGCGCTTATTTGAGTTGAGTGACATTGAGCTACATTGAGCTACATTGCACATCTCATCGCGCTACGTAGCCCTACTTTTGGCAGTCTATGAAAGCCTATTGGGGCCAAATCGCACAAAATCCGCTGGAAAAATAGGTCATGTTCCAGCGACAAACTTGAGCTACAAGCTACAGGCGACATTGAGCTGTGAGATGTGAACAGCTCCATTTGAAATGCATTGGACGAACTACATTGAGCAATTTTTGAACAATTTTTTAGCGGAAATCGCTTCAAATCGCTCAGTGTAAATGGGGCCCAGTGCAGCCACTACATCTACGGACTGGTAAGTTATAGTAGGTTTTCGTCCTTGGTTATTATACACTTTAATCTATATGTGTGCATTCATTACAAACTAAACTGTATACCATAGTCCTAACAGGACCATAGGTCACGATAATAGGTGTTGTGCTTCTAGGGCATGTTTTGCTCAACCATGGACAACTATATGATGCAGCTAACAGGTTGGCACTCTGTATTGTATATCAACAATGAGTAATCCATTCATGACAGCTGCTCTGTCCTGTCTCAGTGTCATCAAATTTTAATCATATCATATTGCTGCTTATCTTTTATGCTTAAAAACAGTGTTTTCTTTTCACATTAGTTTTACTAAAGACTTAACTACAGAACTTTAAACGACCCCAGGGGTTTCAAGGCTGAGGCTGACTAAAGTTTCAGAATACCAGATAATTAGGAATCTTGGATCATGTGTACTTTTGTGTTGAGTGAACTGCATATTTACTCATTTCTTATAATTATTTCAGGAAGCCTTCATAGTATTATTCATAATGAGCATATATCTATTGAGAGGTCATCTGGGAAGTGGCTAACTTTTCTCTGAAATAGAATCACTGGGTGTTAAAGGCAATAGTGCAGCTGTTATGTAGCAGAGCTAGCTGCTTTAAGTAAATGGAAAACATTGTGCAATTAACTGCCAAAAACCACAGGCTGGTGATCTAATACACATGATCTGTGTGTGTAAATATGCACATAACAATGTGTCAGCCTTTTCTTGTTTCATGGAGAATTAGTAGGCTAGTGTTGGAAAGGCACACTAATAATTAAAAGAAAAAACACTGTGTGGAAGCAGTATGGGTTTTATTTACCATGATATAAACAGAGGTATTGATTCATAAATATAAAACAATGCAATAAACTTGGCACAAATCCTTTAAAAAAAAAAAGAAGTAACGTTTTATTTAAATAAATAAAAATATTGCTTGTATTTTTCCCTGAGCTGCCATTGCTGACCTTTATTTAACCATGCAATTTCCAGGCCTGTCATCCTAGTTCTAGCTTCATTTCCTAGTATCTTACTGTCCTGGAGCAAGCATTCAGCCAGTGAAGTCTAAAAAGCCAGCATTCCCATCCTGCTTACATGTTCCATGTCAGTGACTCACTAGGTAGTGAGGCCAGGAAAAGGATGACAGCTGCAAAGCTTTAAACATTAAAACACATTAGCAGCGGCTGCTTTAAATTCTATGTTAGAATTATTTTGCTGGGGTATTTGCAGCAAAACCAGTCAACTACATAGATTGTTCTCTTGCTGCTGAGGACTTATACGTACCCATATATTGCATTTCCTATAATATATATTATTAGATGTATGTGACTATTCTGTGGATTACTCATTCTGACTTGGAGGCATGCTTAGTTATTTGCCCATGATTAATGTTGTTGCCCATCTATCCAAGGACATACTTTTGTATGGATAAAGAATTATAGGACTCACGGGCAGGGCCCTCCTTACCATCTTGTCTTGAATTGCATTGTGATTGTAATGTCTTCCTTATATTGTAAAGCACTGCGCAAACTGTTGGCGCTATATAAATCCTGTATAATAATAATAATAAGACATGCAGGATTACTGTGCATATTTGCTGCTTTTGGTTGAAAGTCATGTGACCTGCTGTGGTACACAAAGGGGGAAGTGGGGTGCATGCTCTCTGCACTCCCTTTTCTAGCCACCCGTGCTGCATGCCTGGCTTAAATATATAGGAGAAACCCATGTCGTTTTCTTCCTGTTTTATTTTTCACTACTTTACCTAAACTGCAATGGATCAGATTGTAGTGCTGCTGGCATATGTAAGCCAAGCTAATTGTAAAAGAGAAAAATCAATTTCATAGCCAAATATGCACTGGCAGTGTACACTGGTGCTAAGACTGTTTGTGAAATTCATACTGTTACATAGCACCACATACAGGCTTTAAGGCAACCTTAAGCATGTTATTTAAAGGAATGGAAAGACCATCTCCATGATGTACACTATTTTTAACATTTCATTTTCTTGCCTTGATATATGTCCCCCCATGGCAGCACTCAACTTCCCATGCCTTTATTTTTTTTTACAGTAGTTTAACTATTAGCCCTAAAAATGGCTAGAACGTACTAACAAGATTCAATTCCCATAGATTTCAATCTGGTTTAGCACAAAATTTGGATTTCACTAACTTCAAACAGGATTTGGCGAACCCTCGGCAGATTTATTTATCCCTGGTATCAGATGACTGATATCAGATCAGTGAAAGTGTGCTGCTGGACTGCAGTGTGTTACTGCACTTTACTCAATACTTCTCACCTTACAGAATAAGTTTAAAGTGTATTTTCACATTTGCAGCCAAATTGGGATAAGACCTATTTTATATTTGTTACATGTTCCCATTCACATAGCATAAGCAAAAAATAAATTTAAAAAAAGCTTCTTAGAGTTTAAATTGCATTTACATGGGTTAACATTTCTACTTGCTTCTCCTTTTGTAATGTTAGGAAGGGTTGTGAGGGGTTAGGGGCTTCTCCTTTGTATGTTAATGGAGTTAATGAGAGAAACACAATCCTCAAATTTCAGTCCTAAGTCTTTCCATTAGGATGCATCACCGTGAAATACCAGGCCAGGCCAGGTTCCAGTATTCCTTATTATGCTAGACGTGAATATTTAAGATTCAAATTATTATTTCGATGAGTTGACGGACTTATCAGCCATTTTTTTTTCAATTAGCAACTGTTTGTGTATGCATCTACTATGTATTTAGGAGTAAATGTGTTAATGTTATAAAAATTCTGTTTGACCAATTTTTAGTTAGCAGTGCACTACAAGAAAGGTGTCTGGATCCATGTAGCTATTGGATTTATTTAGGTTATTATCAGATTATCTAAATAATCATTTTGTATATAGCGAAGGCATTTTGTGTGTTGCATATATTTTATTACTGGTTTCTTTCTTTTAGTCCCTAGTGCCCCACGACATGTTACTTTTTTAAGCATTGACTCTACAAGTGTCACGTTGCAGTGGAATAGACCATACAAGACAAATGGGTATTTAAAGAACTACAAAATCACAGTTCAGCTTCTTTCCACTGAATGTTATGACTGGAACTCTGGTGAATGTGTCGAGACAAGCAAAGACTTCTACTCGTATGCAGATAATATTGTTGAGAAGACAATATATGGCTTAAAAAAATACAGATGGTATAGATTTAAAGTTAGTGCTAGCACTAACGCTGGATATGGTACATCTACACCGTGGATAAATGTACAAACATTATCTGGTCGTAAGTGAAAATTTTTTATACAGTAAACACTAACTAACTAATTAAAACTAACTAAATAACTAACCATTTTTCTAAAGTAAAACAATAAAATAATAATAATAACAACACCAACAATTTATTATTTTATAGAAAAAAAAGAATATTTACATCACTAGTTAACAAACATTTGCTGAACAGTATGTAAATCATAGCAGAAGTCTAAGTCTAATGAAAGTCAAATATACATGCAATGAATGTTTAAAATATTAAGGTTTTTGGAATTCAATTTTGCATTGCAATAGGCAAAGGCTCTCCAATCTTTACAGTGCAGCATCTAGGCCTCAATTGAATGAATCATTTGTTGACTTGATGCATTACCTGGCCCGTGGAATTCTGGGATTTCACAGGCTATTTAGCACACTGTTATAGGTGATTAGTGGTTTCAAAGAAAGCAGCAGTTAGTTGGTAGCATCGTAACTGTTCCCACAATGGTGTTGTGGGAGGAATAAATAGGTTGCACATAAATTCCCCCATGAAGAAACTCCTCCTGGGGCACCAAAGGTGTAAAAGAACTTGGTGGCTTGTGTCATCAGGCTGGTACTTTAAGAGCCCCCCCCCCCCCCATGAACCATCTTCTAATAATTGTAGCCATATAAGCTGTTATTAGCATGGCTAGAAGCTCTTCCACAGTCCATTTAGCACATTCTGATCAGTGAGGAACGGGGAGCAGAAAGGTTGCACATAAACTTCTCCTTCAAATATTTCCTTTCGTGTGTAAGAGTTTGGTGGCTGTTTCCATCACGCCTACTCATAAATAGCCTTCCAACAGTAGTAGACATATAAGCTGTGTCCATCAGGGCTTGACGCTCCTCAGCCATGAAGATACCAACCCATATACTTGGCTGGTATGCCAGGGTGGTATGCTTTGAATAGAGGGGCTATGCCTTTATTTTGTAAAAAAGAAACACAATTCCAAAAATAAAGGCAATCCTGTAACAGTTCAGGAGTTGTTCCAAACTTTGCAAATTATGACTTGGTATTCAAATCCAGATAGTCCCAGCAATCTTGAAACCTTTCGTCTAGTAAATAAGTACTTATCTGTACTTATAACAAACACAGCTGATAACATCTGCAATGTGACAAAAGTGTTTTTTATATGTGGGGGAGTAGATTTGTGCAGATTAATAAAAATAGTTTTTGCCTATTTTATAGTAAAAGGAATATGACTTTTTCACAGGAGCATTTCTAGTTCTAGTATTTTATGCTCTAATGATTGTACCTGGAAATTAAGTGTAGATAGCGATTTTCATACTTAAAGGGATGCTCCTTAGTTGTGAATTAGGAAACAAGAGTTTTACCTTTGGTAGAGTGAGGCATGATTTTGATCACAACCTGGAATGATGAGGAGGTGGAGGTAAAGTGAATCTAATTTTGCAAGTCTACATGAATAAGTGTCTGCCATGTCAAAATATACAGCAGCAGTATCATATTTCTGAAAAATGTTGCCATTTATAATTATAAAAAAAAACTGTCCTTGAGCTCCAGTTGAGTGACTTTGCCTAGGCTGAGATTCTTTAATTATTGGGACTACCGTAGCCCTCCGCCAATCACTGGGGATCCTGGGCAATTTGTCTGCTGTTGGCAGGTGGAAGCTTTTTCTAATTCTTCTGTCTTCCAGTGACTTCAACATAGCTTCTCACAAAGTAAGAGGCTGCAGCAGGGACCTTATCTGTGTCAGACATTTGTGAACACAGCCAAGAACTTCACAGAGTCCAGGATATAAATAATGGTGTCCTCTCTGAGCCAGCATCTCAGTTCAGGATGTAGATAGTGAACGTGAACGATGCCTGAACAACAATGGCTCTGTCCTTCTGGACAGAAAAGCAAATGAAGGCATTGTCAGGGAGAATAATGTAATCCCTGTAAGTGTTAAAAAAATATACCTGAAAGTGTTTCTGTAACTCCCCAGACATAAATAAAATAGGCTAAATTGAATTTCATCTGATTCTTGTTTGAAATCAGAACGAAGTTCAAGCAGTAGGTGGCCCTTTTGGGAATAAAAATTGACTGAAAATTGACACCATGTGGAAAATTACTGGCCAAACAGTAACTACATCTTATCAGGTGCAATCACTGTTCAGATAGTCAGGCAGGTGTGGTAGATGTGGCTGTCTGGATGTAATAGCTGGCAGCAGGGATTCCTCTATCCATGCTGTTTAGTGTGGATGGGGGAATCTATTGACTTTCTCTTGCTCAGCCCGCGGGCTGAATGATAGAAATGTATAAGTGTATAGCTAGCTTTACACTGACACATTACTTGCATTGCATACACTTAACATGAAAAATATATCTGATGCTAGATCCACTTTTGCACCTTTCACAAGGGTTTTCTGATCAGGTTCGCCTGTTGGTTTTTCAGGCGAACCTGATTGGAAGCCCAATGATAGTGTATGGGCAGCTGGATCTAAATAGCCGGGTGTCCGTTTTCATCCAGTTACCCCTGGCTCCGGCCAGGTTGGGAAAACGAAACAAATCAGAAATCAGTTGAGCCGGACCTGATCAGGGGTAACCAGAAATAAACGGATGCCCCTTCATTTAGATCCGGCTGCCCCTTCATTTAGATCCGGCTGCCCATACACTAACATGTGTCCAGTAATGTCAGTTTTTTTCCTCCATAACAAAATGGAGGAAAAAACTGCATGGACACGGATGTCACAAAGGAGACATCTATTCCGATCAGGAAGGGATCCATGCACAGATCCTCTCTTGATTGGAGCATGTGAAAGGGGCTTTTAAGCACTCCAGTGAAACCCAAAATATTAAATGAAACTGTGCTGGTCCTTTTAGCATCAAGCTGTGGTTCAGCTAATTTAGGAGTATTAGTATGTTCCTCAGCAGCATGTTCATAAGCATACTGGTGTGCATGTGCCTTTTTACATGGATATTTGTAGTAACATGATATGATGATCACCATGCTTTCAGTGTTGGCATGCTTGCTGTTATATGAAGCTAGAGAATTAAAACCACAAAAGCCTTCCAACCAGACGAAGAAATAAAAGGACGTTTGGTTAATGCAAGTGACCTGTATATCTATTTTCTCTCCTATTGTTTAAACACTTCTGTAGTCTTTGTCTTCATTTCCTGAGGAAATATCTCTTCATCTCCTTTTTGCCCTTTAAGAAATAGATTAATACGCTCAGTGTTTAAATATAAGTAAGGTTACAATAAACCATAAAGATACATGCAATGTTTTTGAAGTCAGCTTGGCTTAGCTGTGAAATAATGATATAACATCATATTATGCGCTGGTATTAGGAGCTGTACTCAGTCTGACTTCCTGTGTTCTTTTCCAAGCTCAAAGCCCAGATGATTGGTTCTCCAGATCCTCTACACAGTGAACACACTTTACAGCTACCCTAGTATCAGGACACAGATGAATTGCAAAGATGACCCTGACCTCTATAAGACCTACATTCCTGTACAGGGATGGAAGCATGTTAATCAGGAAATTATGCTTGTTAGTTACAGTAAATGCATTATTGTGGTAACCAGGACAAATGCTCTCATGAACGGAAGTGATTGGATTATGATAGGAAAGATGTTATATCCATAGTTAGTGAATTGTTATGATTTATATGAGTTATGCTAATGTCAAACAGTTCTAACACAGGACAAAAAGAAGATAAATCTATTTTTTTCTTTTTTTAAAGGAAACATGTTTCAATATTTCATAAAGAACAAGTATTGGCTGTTTCCGTAGCTCAGCATGTATGAACAAAACCTTTGTATCATTAACTATATAAATGTAAATAGCTTTAAAATCAGTAATGCTTTAAAATCTAAATATTTTTCAATTCTATCTTACGTGTTATGTAGTCATTAAAGGTTAAAGAAGCACAAATCTGATTACCATTTTTTTCACTTCATCATGTACTTAAAAATCTGAACTAAGTTTATTATACTTTAATGTGGTTTTCCATAGTATAGTGCTGATTCTAAGTACTAAAATGTTAGAATCAAATATTGTGGTTTAGTAGCATTGATTACATGACACAATCAACATTGACATACAATTCTCAATGTTTAGTATCAGATAACTCTGTTCTTGGCTTGTACACATATTCAGAAAAATATGAATTTCTACTACATGGTTTGGTATTTATTACTTAATGAATCTAGCCAGGTTGAAGTTTCTTATGTTGTAGTTAACTTAAAAGTCTAAAGGAACAGTATAGATATTGCTGACATACTGTATACATATATTATTACTTTAAAATTAATTGATTTAATTTCTGTATTGTGCAAGGTACTAAAGGTTTTAAATCTTATAAAATAATACAGTACCATTTGTAGGCATCTTGATTAACATACTAACACTAAAATTTGATTAAATGCATGTGATAACTGTTATCTAACTGTAATATGTTTAACTACTGTTTACCTATAACACATATGAAACAAAAACAGTTTTTCATCCAGAGTGGGTAGCTTTCATATTTATGATGGCCAGCAGATGCCTAGCAGCCAACCATTCCCAAAAAGGGGGCATTTTAATGAGGCACATAAGAAACCCTGTTCCATCCATTAAAGCTTTCCCCATGATTAACATCCACAGCAGCATCTGCCAGCAGAACCTATCTACTTCCGACTGCCCTTTGCATTGACATAAACCTACAAAGTTGGCAGAGGCTGTCAGATATACAGGCATATTGGATAGAAGGGGAAATCCTCCGCACACCTTGCAGCAATCAAGGCATATGTAGACAATGGTGCTTGTAGTGATGAACACGGATGGCACCGTGCAGACACAATGTAGGAAGAGGAATCACCAGCACTCAGTAGAATAATCCAACATGTCCATTTATTGGACATAGATGTCACACAATCACCACGCAGGGTCTCTTCATCAGGGCATAAAGAGTGACCTAAAGGGGTTGATTTACTAACCTTATAAACACGCCACAAACAAGTATACACCTCTGTAGTGTGTTCCCTCCCAGCATGATCTATTGGTGGAATCTAGACACCTTTGTAGTGTGTACACACCCAGCAGGTGTGTTGTGCAAAGCCCTGCATGAATTGCAAGGTGATATTGTGTAAATTAGCTCTACATTGTGTTGCTTGCGTTGATATATGCAGGATAAAAATGCATGAGCTAACCATTTTTGTCTACACTGTGAAGCAGCATTATCTATGCATCATGTGCATGATTTTTCCATATATGGCATTAGTGGAAATATGCTTTTAGAGACTTTTTGGTTGATAAATACCTTTTGCTGTATAAAAATCCCACGCACCTAGTGCGTGCGTGTGTTTAGGTTAGTAAATCACCCCCAAAGAGCCCTGATGCTGATCTTTATGCCCTGATGAAGAGACCCTGCATGGTCTCGAAACGTTGGCTCTTGTGATTGTGTGACGTCTATGTCCAATAAATGTTCATGTTGGATTATTCTACGGAGTGCTGGTGATTCCTCTTCCTAGATATACAGGCATGTCTATTGGCGTCCTAAAACTGAAATACTGACTGCACTGTCAGACCTAAGGGCCAGTTTTCTGTCTGTTGGGGTGCTGGACTATGACCAGCAGGAGTAAAAAATTGCTCTGGCGTCAGTTTAAAAAATGCCCTTGCAATGGTGGTCAGTGGAAGTAGAAAATGCCCCTTTGTCAGTGATCATTGGGAGGAATGGTGCCCCATTATTGGTGTCAGTTGGGTTTATAAAGACCCCCCATAGTGGTATTCAGAGGTTTTTTCCATTTGAATATGCTCCATGTCCCGGGCTGCTTCTCTACTGGACAGATGACATCATGGCTGGAGTTATGCAGTCAAGCAGGAGGTTACTTTACCCCCACACTGCTTTGCGCTCCAGTGCCCACCACGGACTGCCACTGTTCTTTCAGTTTCTCTTTTTGGTGTGCAATGAGAAAGCCTTGCATTTAGGGCCCTTGTACCATGGAACCAAATAGCCTATGTTGATGTGCTTTTGCAAACATCAACATCAGTTGTCCCAACTGATCATTATCACACAAGGTGATTTTGGAAAATGTGACAGATAAGGAATCTTTCGTTTTTCTAATGAAAAAAAGGTAGCAGAACCTTTACAACTCACATGAGGTATCCATCTGTAAGCGTTGATGGGAAGAAAATTGGGGCATATTGCCGCAGTGCAAAACAGGTAGGTGTCTAACCTGCTTTTCTACATGTTGAAATATCAGCCTCTATGATCATCTATTTCACCATTCCACTATTCTGAATTTCTGGCCACATTACCACAAAGCTGAAAAAAGGCTGCAGTTATTAATAGCACTCTCTGTTTCCAAGTGTACAAACCTTTCCCTATATTTAAGCTAAATGCAAATCAAAATAATCAGTTTTTCTTTATCATTTACTTTAGCTGCAGAAGGACCTCCGCAAAACATCAATATTGTTGCTACCTCCCCACAAAGTATTAATATCACTTGGAGTGGGCCATTAATCATAACTGGACCAACGTCATATCTAATCAACATCTCCTCGGTAAGGAAAGGATGAGTATCATTACTGATTTTTTTTGTGTTATGGTACATATATGTAACAAAGCATGGTTGGCTGACCGAAGTTCCTGCCCTGCCTGTATCATTGAGGTACTTTTCCACATACGATGTCTATCTATTCTGTTTCCTCTAAAAAATATATAAATGGTTAATTATTTTGCTGATAATAGATTTGCTGCATTGCTTACATGGTCTGGAAAAGCAGAATATCGATCAGGAATGGGTGTTTGTAAGAATCTGCTTCTTCAACCTGAAATGGCTTTATTAGTGCAGTCTTACCTCTTACGGTTGATGTGTGCAGTGTTGTTTACTTGTATTTCATCCCTGTTAGAGCAAAAATTGTTGTTGTACTGCAATTTCTGTGGTTATTAGTTATATAATTTGTATTTTAATTTTCATATTCAGACGATTTTAGTTAGTACTATAATTAATGCTGAAGCTTTGGAAAGGATTAGCACGTTAACTCATCCTGGAATTTAGAAAATGAAGCATGGAGCTGCAGTCGTATTTGTTGTGGTCCTCCCTTCTAGTGCAAGCTATAAAAGTTGTATAACTAGTGCCTGGAAAAGTCCTTTCTGTACATGAAGCCAAAATGTCAAAGTGCACCCCCATGTCCTACACTTAAATGTCCATATGACCTTCTTTCCTTGCTCCTTTTATTGCTCTTTCTACACATGAGTAGGTATTCTATATTTTCAATTTGCAGATTTCAATCAAAGAGGAGTTAAAATGCATACAACAAATGTTTTAAAAGACATAAGTTTCCTGCTCTGCGCTCACAGCTATGATCTCCTCAAATATAACCTTCAGACCTGCATGCACTCCATATATAATCTATAAATGCATACTTAATCCTCAACTGACCCTAGGTCTGAGTCAGCTTCAATTGTAATTTCTGTACAATATTTCCTAAGGATCCTTCAGTTCACTGTGCTCTTCGAGGGATGGCGCATAGTGTTTTGATGTCCTTCTGTCTTCCCAGAACTGCAATGGAGGGCCCTGGCAGGAAAAGTTTAGGAGAACAGAATCTTGTCTACATACTGCAGCTGCAGAGAAGCCAACTTTGAAGAATACATTAGGGTGACAAGAAAGTGCCATGCTTCATGCATCACAATGAAAAGTGGATGTGGCTAAATGGGAATGATTTTGTCATTTTAAAAGAGAAAATCAAGCTACTAGTAGGTATAAAGTACAGAAACTTAAAGGAGGCTTTGCATACCTGCAGCAGCTTTAGTAGCTCCTTGTTGCCCAAATGACAGTCCAATTGGTTAGTGAGGCATCCAATGATAGTGGTTGGCCAATAAGAATGCGGGGGGAGGATGAAGGGAGTAGCAAGCTTCAACACTATCTGCAAGTGTCAGAACTTTCCCTGCTCAGAAATACTCAGCATTCAGGCAGAAAGCAATTAAAGTTGCGGATGGTATGTGCAGGCATCTTTTGGTTTCTGCACTTTATATCTGCTGGCAGCATTTTTTTGAGACACTTTAATAAATAGTAATGACACTGTATACCTATTAATATTTAGCATTACATACAGCAAATCAGAAATCCTGTGCATTTCGCAAGCCTAATCCATACCATTAGTGCAGACAGCCACTATTTGAACAAAGCCTTCTCTCTGTAATTACGAATGGCATATTTTATTATAATCCCTTTCAGTGCCTCTTTCATACTCTTTTACAGTCTACACCTTATTTGTCTTCATCATTTAATAAATGTGCCTGCATTAAACAATAATGACAGTTCTTATCTACACTGCATTATTATCTATGACAGTTCCCATCCTTCACCTTGGTACTTGAACCAGAGTGTGTGCTCTGAATTGTACTAGAATAAAACATGGGCTTTAGTGGCTCTGGATAGGCAGTAGAGCAAAAAAACGGTCTTTATGAGCAGTGTAGATGAGTAATCTTAGGGGTTAATACTGGTGCTGGCTTGGCATCTATGAGTGCGACATCCAGATAGATATGTCAGTTAGTAGATTAGTGACACGCAAGGAGACTGAGGGGGAGAGTTGCTGAGTAGAGAGATAGATAGGATGAAAATGAAATGCTCTTTATGCATCCAAGGAACAGTGATTCCAAAATGTGTTAAGGGGGAAAAACACCTATATATTAACCATGTATTTATTTGCCAGAGTACAACCATACAACACTTGTTTAGGTAAGGGCAGAGTTTCTGTCAATGCCAAGGCCCAGACTTTTTAAAGTCATGTAAAGGGTACAAAGTACCCATAACCATAGCTGGAGAGTCCTTGGGAAGCATGGTGTTAATTTTTTTCCAAAAAGAGTTGTAGAGCACTTAAAGTCTAGCTGTAGCAAATGCCCCATGCTCCAGTCCTACATGATTGGCAACTAGTAAAATCACCACAGCCTTACACAAAATGCATGGGTATACTAGAAAGACTCCAAAATGTGATGTCCTGACAGCAGGATACCAATCCCTTGGTCATCTCAAGGCTATCCCCTCCACCAGCACACTATCAGCACTGCATTCAGAAGAACCCTGCAGATCATATAGACCACATTACTGTGGCCCAGAGGCAGCCAACCTGAGATACCAAAATTATACTTCAGGTAAGTGGAAGCATTCAGGATCTGTGCTGCAGTCTGCAACTGGTTCTCCCCAAAGATCTCTAGTGTCAGGATATATGCAGCAAATCATCCTCCATGTGCTCAGATGACCCTAACAGCAATGGGAATGATGTACTGTGCTTTGCAGTAGGGATGGAGAGAGAGATGAAGTCCTGAGAAAATCTGTGTAGCTTTTAGTTAAGATAAATCCTAGCTGGTACAGAAGAATACCTGAGGAGATGTTGGAACATAGTAAACCATCACAAGACTATATCAGTGACATAGTAAAAAAAAAACCTCTGATATAATTTGTTCAATGGGGTGATTGGGAGAGGTGGGGGTTAAAATTGGAAAACTCACAAAAAAATAGCAGACTTGATGGGTCTGTAGTTGCTAATGCTGCTAGTAAGCCAGGTAGCACAATGAAAAAGACGTTCTTATCCAGACAGCAGACAACAAGCACCCTATGCACAGTGCCTCATCTGCAAGTAATATGGCTATCTTCTAAACACTCCTTGTAAAGAACTGCAACTGGATTTCAGTGTACAGTATATCATCAGAACTGCAGATTAGGCAGCCGCATCTGATGATTGTCCTTCTAAGCCAAAGAGCCTAAGGTGGCCACCTCATCTGTTAATCCATCTGCCTTCCATATTATAGCACAGAATACAATAATCAAAGGCTACATTCCAATGAAAAGGACGTTCACAGTCCTCATGAACCTGACTTGATATGAAGTGATCAGATAAAATTAAACAAAATGGGCTTTCAAAGTTTCGCACAATTGCAATATTTTCTGGTTATCTTTATCACTTTACTGACTGGTTTCATCTGTTGCCTGGAGTTTTTCTTCAGTTATGCTGTACAGTTTATGATGATGCTATGGTGTCAAGAGTGCTTTATAGATAACAGGAAGTATGTGCAGACAGTTGTAAGTTGGTAAATTATATTTTAGTTTAGGTACACTTTAAATTTTAAAAAGGCAATAAAGAAGCGGCAATGGTTTTAGAAAACACATGGTTGACAATAATGGAGGAGAAAGTGGGCAGTTTTTGTCGTTGAAGTTAAGATAAGACTGGAAGTTGAAGATAGGAAGAAGTGCAGATATGTGAGAAGTAACTAGTTTGAAATCATGGGTATTGCTAAGTAGACATCCTGGTAAAGGGTGCACCTGTGTGATAAGGGATCCAAACTATTATTCCTTACATGTGTTCGCCACAACATTATACAGTGCAGGTAGAGTAACTGTTCTTTTGAAAGACATTTAGTCTAGTGTCCTGCAAAGGTCATCATTATGCATCTCTGTCACTAGCCAGATAAGCTGTACAATTTTCCTTGGTAAATTGTCTAATAAAGAAAGTGTTGATTTAGCAGATAACTTAGTTGCCTACGTATTGTCTTCTATTTCTTTTAATTGGTTACCATGGTATGAATATGACTACTAAAACATCTCTGACAGATAAAGGGATAACATAAAACTTTTATGCTGCTGAAGAGAGTCTTTAGATAAGAGCAGATTCTAATTAAAACTAAACAGTTGGAGATGAAGCAGATAAAGCAGCAGACACATGAAATCTGAGAGCTGGAGCTACCAAAATTAAATCACAAGTACATTTTACAGACTTTTATTAAATGTGCCGAGAATTACTGGTTAAAAAAATCCTTAAAAAGGGGACAAGTACATTTAAAGTATACCTAAAGGCAAAACTTTTTTATATACATTTGGATAAAGTGGTGAGAGGTTAGAACCAATGTCAGGTTTTTAATGCTGTGTCTCTATTATGGAGATTTAGAGGATTATTCACAAAGCTAGCCGAAGGATCAGCCGTAGCTCTGGCTGATCCTTGGGCTAGCTTCGGCCGCCGGAGCCCTTTAATTCAGTTGAACCGAAGGGCTGCTGTATGGGCTATTCACTATGGGCTATTCACCCAAAGCCCATACAGCTCTAGAAGCTGGCCGAGCGGCTCAGCCGAGCCCGAAGACATATGCTTCGGCTCGACTGAGCCGAAGTGACACCCAAAGCAGGGCGAAAGCCTTGCAACTGACAGCTGGGCGGAGCCAGCCGTGAGATCACCCAGTTGCAATGACAGATCTGCATCCCTAGGTCACATGGTGATGCTGAACTGTCATTAAACAATGACAACTGGGCAGAGCCGGCTGTGACGTCCATGCGCATATTTGTTATTCATTGGCCGGGACCTGCTAGAAGACTCTAGCAGGACCCGGCCAATAGGAAACATTTGGACAGAGATAGCTGCCACTGCTAGCTCCGCCCAATTGTTTTTATTTTTTCAAATTTTGTTTTAAAGAAATCTTTATTTTTTTAAATGTATCATTTATTTACATTTTCAAACATTTTTTTTTCTACTTTTCGCACTGATTTTCTATTCTGCTCGGTACCAGGGAGCAGAATAGCCTAGCCGAATGCCGCTCGGAGCCATTTGGCTATTCACTCACTGCCCGTTCGGCACCTATGAGAACAGGCCGAACGGCAGCGAGTAGCCTGCCTGAGGTTCGGCTCTGCCGGTCCAGATGTTGGATCGGCTGAATCGAACTCCTTCTTCACTTTGGCTCAGTTGAACATGCTGAGCATGTTCAGCTGATCCGAAGCCAGCCGATGTACGGCTGAAAACAGCTGCACAAGCCTGAAGTGAATAGCCGAACAGCGTTTGGCTCACTTCACTTCGGTTGGGTCATTCACTCGGCTGCCTTAGGCAGCTTTGTGAATAATCCTCTTAGTCTCTGAAATTGTCCTGATCACAAATATCACATAAATCAGACACTTGTTCCTGTGACAACTATTAAATAGGGGATATCTCTCACATTAGAAAGATATCCTCCCACTTCCTGTTGAGTTTACAGAACAGGGAGTGAAGGGAAATCTCCCAAATGAGACCAGATGGAAAAAAAAACTGGCAGAAGTTTTAACCTTCCCCTTTTATATCCAAAATGAAACAAAATTTTTGACTTTAGGTAAACTTTAATATATAACAAAGAAGTCCAAAGTAGGAAAACATATATATATATCTTAGCACAACATGTACATGGATACCAATTTTAATGTATTATGCTAAATATAATGTTGATACATGTTTGTAGGAGAACCATGGGGCATACAAAATCATGGAACTTTTTCTCTGTTTTCTAAAGAATATATGGCTGGGTTTACCTAACCTTTAAACAAGAAATGTGTTAATTATCACTGTATGGAAAAATGGAAAATCCAAGGTGTAATACGTGAGCCAACCCCTGTCTAGTTTATGAGAACATTGCAATCCTAAATATTCCAGGTCAAATTCAAAACTAGAAAAAGTAGAGGAGGGAATGTATAAGTTTTAAAGGCGAAGGCGACTCCAAACAGATGAAGTTGAGTATTTCACAATAAACAGTCATATAATACCCACTTCACATGAATGGACACCAAATACTAAACTGCTACTGAGCAAGAGGATATTTCTATTATCATGTGAACCCTAAAGCTGACCTGGTGCTAAGATCATTCATGATTACTTACTATTGTTTTAATCCATTTATAAGTAGATGGGTTTTGTTTTGCAGTTGTAGATGGTTTTAGCCATATTTTACAGCAGCACCCCAATAGCCGATATTTTGACTTTGTGAGAGCTTTTTAAACATAATTTATAAAAATACATTCTCATTTATAGTATTTGGCATGTATTCACTTTCCTGTAGCTATTTTAAGATGAATTTATTGTTATAAGGGGAGTGCAGTGGCTTTGTGGTCAGCACCTGTGCCTTGCAGCACTGGGGTCTTTGGTTTAAATCACGGCCAGGATACTATTTGCATGGACTTTGTATGTGCTTGTGGGAGTTTCCTTCCACATGTGAAAGACATGCTAGTTAAATGGCTCCTGTCTTAACAGGTCTTAGTATTCATGCATGTGAGATAGAGACCTAAAGCTGGCCATACACTATGCAAATTTCGGCCGGTTCTTCATAAATCAACCGAAATTTGTACAGTGGGTGCTGCGGTCAGCACCCTCCGGCCGGCGTCCCTCAATCAGCTGTTGGAAAGAGCTGGTTACAAAGTTTTCAATAGCTTCAAGCACCATTCATATATTCTGACAGTGGCCACCGGCCTCTCTCAGAATACAAGGGAAACAGCGCAAGGTTCATCCATTAACACTCGTAAGCATTTAGGAATCTGTTCTATTAGTTTGTTGCCTGCAGGTTAAACAAAACAAATAGAACAGTATATGGCCAGCTTTAGACTGTAAGCTCCTCGAAGACAGGGACGTTTTTTTAAATCTTTTTTTTTCTTTCAAAAATGTTTTATTAACTTTTAGCAATCTTTACATTTTTTAAAACAAACGTCATCACTTCAAAGTAATAATTATACCACGCAGTGGTTAATTCCATCCATAACAATCCATCAAGGAACATATGCATAGTAGATGGAGCATTCTGAACAATACTAACAGTACTCCCACTATAAACAAGTATTCAGACAGTGTAATCAAGCAGTACTCATATTACTCCAAGACCTGCCTTCCAGAGAGGCCGTCAGTCTTGGCCTAGCTGCAGGACCCCCAAGGCATTCGACAAGTCATTAGTCAAGTACCATTTAGTGTAGCGGAAGGGCTTAATGATTTGGTGGATGTCCTCTACAGAATAAGAACTACTAAGAAAATACCTCCAGCGCGATAGGAAAGACGTAGAACGGGTATCTTTATGCATCTCTGCATCCAGTTTGTCCTTATTCATCAGGAGTTTAAGATCCATAGTAATCTCTGTTGTCGTTGGGGCCAGTGGAGAGTTCCAGTGCCTCATTATACACCGTCTCGCCGTCAGAAGGCATAGATGGGCCCAGTCCATGCCCTTTCCCCGGCCCTCTCCCGAAGGCGCCAGGAAGCTGAATAGACAAAGGGCCGGATCCAGATCCGGTTGCCAGGAGATGACGGAGTTGATGTACGTGAGTAAACAGTGCAATGTGCTCAAATGATAGCATTGAACTGCTTCCTACGAGCACACACCAGCGGTCACACAGTAGTGCATGCTACTAATGTGAACTGACCCTTATTGGAAATATTATTAACACTGCTAGCAGATTTGAGCATTTTAATGCTGTTGAAATGCTATAAAGTGGCAACCAGGCAACAAAGATAGCTAAACAGGTTGTATAATGAAGTCATGCTAAACATAGCACAGAGTAAACAAAATTCGGTTGATGAAAAACGTATTTACAAGCTCTGCTGTTTTGACAAATCACGTAAGCAACACATATAATGATATGTGACTCTAGAATACTTGAATAAAAATTATTTGAAAAGAGAAGTACATTTTTTTAGCTTAAGTTTTCTTTGGATCTCAGGGATACATTTACTAATGCACTCCTGTCACCCAAACTCAGCAGATAGCAGGCTACTGCCAGCTATATGCTGACAACGCAGAGCCGTGCTGCAGCTGGGAAGGATCCCGGCAGTATTGTCAGGACCCACCCCTCTGACTGATTGACAGTTGGCTCTGCCTCTCTAGAGCCAGAACCAGCTATGCCCTCCTCCTCCCCTGTCTCTCACTCCAATTAGTGCTGGAGGAATAGAGAGGGGAGGGGAAAAACCTTGCAGGGAGCTTAGACTGTCAGTCACTGCTCTCTGCAGGGAGAAGCCATGAGCTGAGCGATCAGCGTTTTGTGATCGCTCAGTTCGTAAGCTATAGAGCCGGTCTGCGACAGCTGCAGTGTCTCAAGCTATTGGGAAGATACAGTTTACTCTTCCAATAGTTATTCTTTAATGCTTGCTGTTATGTTTGTTAGGAATAAGAATAATTACATAAAACATGTTTAATGATTGTACCTATGTAAACACAATGATGCTGATTTAATTAAGGATTTGAGAATGTTCAAGTGTTAAATTGTGTGAATATTCACTTCAATTATACAATCATGTGCAGTTGAAGTAAAAAACAGTGATTTTATTTTCAGATGCTTGCATAATTGATGTGAATCTTCACACATTGTATTGTGAGAACATTCTGAAATCCTTTAATAAATCAGCCTCAATGTGATGTAGAACATGATAGACACAGTGTATCTGGCTGCACTAAAGAAGCAGAGTGTCTCCAGGAGTACTCTGGGGAGCAATGCACCTTTTAAGATCCCAGATTCCATACTCATCCTGCACAGTACACCATTACATACTTATTAGCACCTACATTCTCAGGTCAGCAGCTTTAGGGATTCGTTTAGTATTTTACAGGAAACCATAAATCAGGATTAGAGCTTGGTTTTAACACAAACTGTTTTTCATTTAATAAGTAGACCGCGAGCAGTTTATTTTTTTTCACCATAGAAGATAATTATTTAAGATTAATCTCGTGCTGAACCTGACTGTGAATAAGACAAACATAACATTTTGGTTGTATGTATAATAAGAAGGTTGACACTACAAGGCATCCGATTAAAGTCAGCGTCTGTTTAGTACATCAAAAAGCACAGAACAGACTGAATGGGACTTGGGATAACACAGCACATCTGTCAAGGAAGAACACACTTAATACCTTAGCAGCTGCACTTAATACACACTTTCCCCCCAGAGGAAAACTACTGTACAACCACCTAATCTACTTATAAAAATACACATTGAAACAATATTGTAAAAACAGAGACCTACAGGGGAATATGGGATATGTTCACACAAGTAGTTAGAGTGATTTCTATTTTACCATTCTGACATACCTCCCACTAACATATGTATGAGATGGCCCAGACTGCACTAGCCTTTTTGGGTGGTATAGCCGTCCTTAATGCAATACAGTATATAACCATATATATTGGAATCCTTTAAATATACTACATACAGTAGGAATGTATTAGATGTATAGGCTGCAATTATGGCATATCTGCATTAAAATAATTAGCAAATTCCATATTGTTCCCCATTATGAGTGCAGACAAAAAAAATGCTTCTGCATTCCATGCCCAAACTATACAGTATGTTATGTGCTATACAACACAAATAACAAAAATGTAATCTCCTTATAGGTTAATGGTGTAGACTACAGAAAAGAGGTTGTACGGTGGAGTAATGAAAGTAAGAGCATTGAGGTGACAGACCTGAAGCCATTTACAAGCTACTCTATAATAGTTACAGCCTTTACTGGAGATCTAGAATCAGCTTTCACTGAAGGGAAGTCCAGTGATGTTGTGATTGCTACCACTCTTGAGGCAGGTATGTCTTCTATTTTCCTTTACAATGACAGTGTCCACATGATGATTGCATACCCAAAATGACCTCAATATATACTTTGTTATTACATACAGTATATTTCCAATCAAAGGAGTGTCAAGCCATGACTCTTTTTGTTAACCACTCCCTCTACTGTAAAAGAGAAAACGGTTTGTTCAACCAAGTGAGGTTTTGAACATAGTGCAGCTGAATAAGGGGGAGTCGGAGAGTTAATTGGCAATATAAAAGGCTAAATTTATTCAAAATACAAGACAACGAACCATAACACATTAGTGGACTGCACAATTGATTCCCACTAACCCTACACCTTTAAAAATTATTGCAATAATCCATTCGTGCAAAACAACATTCAAAACCTTTTGGAGCTTGTAGATCAACTTTGGTTAGGTAATCTAGCGGTTCTCAGTATTTGAGAAAACAGCGCTGGGAATAAAGTGAATAGTGCAAGATACAACGTATCAGGTGCCTGGGATTACTTAATTGCATAATAATTTTCCCTCTAACTGCAGACATCTTTTTAAGTTTTGTCCAGTTGTAAATGAAGTCCCTGGGAACAGAACTTGGATCCTTATTAGTTCTTTCACTGGATCCCACAGATATCGCTAGGGAGAAAAAAAAACTTGATTGAAGAAATCTTGCTAGGACACTTTAAGAATATGAAAGTGGACCCGGGAGAATAAATAACATACCGCTGAGTTTTAAACACTCCTGGAAGGAGGAAACCTCCAATCTGTGTATTGTAATAAACTCGAGTAAGATTTACTCACGGATGTTCTCTCCCTTTGGTCAGGCTGTCAGTCCACGAACCATATGGATGCTTGATATTTTCTTTCCAACTTTGTTCGTTGTGGTGTCCCAATGGTGTGAAAAATCCTTAAGTGTGTTCCTACAGGGCTCAAATGCTTTTTGAGAGGGGTTGAAAGATCCCAGGTTCAACTTAATTCAAGTCCGTTTGTCGACATAGGGAATTTCCTAGTCTCGCTGTTTGAGATCAACCGCTGATGTTCAAAACCTCACTTGGTTGAACAAACCGTTTTCTCTTTTACTAGTCTCCAGTAAGCAGCAGGGGGATTTTCGTTTTGCTTTTGCAAGTGAGAGTTAATAAGCTGAGTTAATTAACTCAAAACTAGACTGGGGTGTGGATCTGTAGGTACACTGTTTCTTTTTTCTATGCCACTCCCTCTACTGTACCCAGAAAGTTTGGCTATCAAATGCTCTACCACACACACAAACCACTGGCATTATTTATTTCTAGCTGCTACACTTATTTAGTCTTCAGAAATTATCACAAAACACATTGTTTATGATTGGAGAAAAAAATCATCACAATATTTTTCCCCAGGACCAGGAACTTTTTGACCTATTGAGTGACATGTCATTAAGGGGCCATGTAGTTAGGGTCAATCATAAATAAAGCTTGGTGTGCTTTTTAGATATTTTATGAAGTCCAGCTGTGTGATCTCCCCACCACAGATCTCATATCTGTGCCTCCACACCTTGGATACTCATGTTATAGTAGAAATGTTCCCAGTACGTTTGGTGAATTCTTCTTAGTGCAAAAACCCAACAAATGATGGAACTCTCTCATAATGTCTGCACTAGATCTGCCAGCCTGGAAACATGACCTCAGTACTCTTACCAGCAGAGACCTAAAGAGATATTAGAAAATGGCTTAACTCTTTAACATATTAGTTTTTGTGTAAATATTAATTTTAATAGTTTTGAGTAAAGCATAATTAAAACCCATGTCATTATTTTTTGTTTTTGTTCTCCCTCATTTGGTAGCAGTTCTTCACTTTCTGTCCCATAAACACAATCATAAATAAAGCTTGGTGTGCTTTTTAGATATTTTATGAAGTCCAGCTGTGTGATCTCCCCACCACAGATCTCATATCTGTGCCTCCACACCTTGGATACTCATGTTATAGTAGAAATGTTCCCAGTACGTTTGGTGAATTCTTCTTAGTGCAAAAACCCAACAAATGATGGAACTCTCTCATAATGTCTGCACTAGATCTGCCAGCCTGGAAACATGACCTCAGTACTCTTACCAGCAGAGACCTAAAGAGATATTAGAAAATGGCTTAACTCTTTAACATATTAGTTTTTGTGTAAATATTAATTTTAATAGTTTTGAGTAAAGCATAATTAAAACCCATGTCATTATTTTTTGTTTTTGTTCTCCCTCATTTGGTAGCAGTTCTTCACTTTCTGTCCCATAAACACAACAGGAAGTGAGAGTAAACCTCTCCGAAGTGAGGGAAAATCTCCTTGTCACCACAGCAGGTGTCCCCTTTGGAAAACATTTACTCCATTCTTGTATTGGTGACACCTGCAAAATTTTAGATTTCAAATCACTTTCTTTCCCACTGACAAGAGTCAAATAGAGAGGGTGAATCTTCCCAGTGGGTAGAGAGACAGCAATTAAGAAGGGTTTTATTACTCCTATATCCCATAAAAAAATAAAAATCTTATGCCCTGATTCAAAAATGTAGAAATCTATTTAGTGCAAAGTTTTATCTGTAGCATACTACAAGTAGTAGATATTATCATGCAATAGGTTTGATTCACTAAGACGGATGAGTTTTTAAACCACTACTTATTTTCTCCTAAAAATTTGCAATTGACAAACATAAATGCCACCAAGATGTATAATCTTTATTTTTTCACATGAAGTTCACATGAATCCATGGTAAGGCCTATTCTCTCAATAAATTGTTAGTTTATCTTGTGAAGTGTTATTTTCTCACCCCCACAAATGTCTTCTTTAACTTCTATCCTCCATAGGCAGCTATTGAAAGTCCCAATTTATCGCCACCCTAAAGCTGGTGATAACGTGTGTGGTAATCTTTGTAAATTGACTCTTGCATTGTATTTTTTTTATAAGGGCAGATAAAATAACACCATCAGTAATATAAATAAAACTAGTAATGATAAAAAAGCGCTACTTACAGAGTTGACTAAATAAATCAAGTTATGCGTGTTTGTGAGTTGTGATATCACTAAAATAACACCAGAACAAGAGAAAAACAGGATTATGAATTGATCCTATAGTAATCTAAATCTATATATCCGAAAGTAACTATTTGCTGCATTGTAGGCATTTCCAAGGCTGACAATGTATAGCAGTTCAGATACACTGAAAATGCACAGACAGACATTTAGATGTGAATAAGTGCTAACATTAGGCTGTGCATCATGGAAAATGGATAGGCATGATATTTGTTTTAGTAGGTAAATAATACACTGATGACTGTGTTACTATTCTGTTTTAGTGCCAAATGATTCTCCTAAGAACATAACGATTGAGAAGATACCAAATGAAGTGACTAAAGTTCAGGTGACCTTCATTCCACCAGCAGAGCCTAATGGAAATATTCAAATGTTCCAAGCACTTCTATACAAAGAAGATGAGCCGACAAAGACTCAAATCCGCAATCTAAGTATCGTTAGAAGAGATGAAGAATCTGTAACTGCTATTATCGAAGGACTTAAAGGCGGCTATACATATAACATAAGCGTAAGGACTTATTGTCTTTAGTGCAGTTCCCTAAGAAATATGTTTATTAAAGAAAACTCTATTTCTGACCTTTCCTTCTAAAAATGCTGGTTGCCTGGCTTTCATGCAAGACCCCCTTACTTCAACACTTTGTCAGCTGCTGATCTGCATACTTGTTTTGTATTAGCAGCCTAGAAACTATAGAAGATCAGACTGACAGACAGCTAGCATTTTCAGAGCTCAGAAGTGGTAACCTACTAGGAATTGGTCCATGTGCATTCAAGCTTCACTCTACATAAATGTACACCAGTTCTTGATTTTGAAAATCATATGGATAACATGAATTTTGAGTATATTTTTATGAACTAAAATGTATCATTTAGTGATATAAATATTGTTTACATTGTAGATATATGCAGTCAATGGTGCTGGAGCAGGACCAAAAATCCAAATGAGAATTACTACGGATGTGAAAGGTACTGTTAACTGTTTTACACATTGTTTAGTGATGGCAAATACACCAGATTCAGGATGAAGCAGGAATATGTAATCATTCCCAAAAGCTAACAAAAAGGGATATCACAAAGTCATTTTTGCAAAAAAAAATTTAAGAAAATGAATCAGTTGACTAAATCCAAAGCTGAAGAGTTTTTAGTTATTTTAGAAATATTATATTTTTAATTATATATTGATGCAATGTTTTGCAGATTCATACATTTATTATAATAAAATGTATAATTACTGTAACAATTATAGAAATGAGTCCTCCCAGCCATCCTTAGTTTGGGTTACAACCCTGATTGTCATAGTTTACAAAGAATGAAGGCTTCACCAATCCATGGAAATAGCTTAGTGGGATTAACAAGAAATTGGTGAGGTTTAAAATTGGTGTGTGGGGGGGGGGGGGGGGGGGGGGGGGGTG